AGAGTAGAGAGAAACCAATTTGACGACAGATCTGCATGAGATGCAGCGCAGACCGGAGATATAAGTTCTTGGTTGGCTCAGTATAAACGGCTAGAATCATGAAGGTGATTAATGGGGATGTTACCTGATTATGAGATTTACCAACCCACTACGCATAAAGAAATGAGCTGAGAAGAAACACACTTATTGAGCTTACTTCCATTTCGAGTGAAAGTGTATGAGATGAAGAGCTATAAAGGTAAAACTCACCTGAAGATGACGACAGATTTTTCCTGGCCAGCTGTCAGTTGGCTCTACTGGAACATTCATATTGAAGCTGTCCTCAAGACAACCTCCTACGATTTTTATGGAAAGATGTTATGCATATGTTTATAGAAAATATACAAGTAGAGATAAGCAGGTGAATATTCTTGACTCATTTATTGAAATATGATTGCAAGAATCGTAATCTGATTCGATTATGTCAACCGAAAGCTTAACACCTGTTCACCGGAATCGAAGGGGATTGCCTCAAAAACAGCATCAACAAAATGTTCAAGTAAAGCCAACCGAAAACTGGCCAAGAGGAGTCTAATGAGATGTATTCACCCTATTTCGTCTAAGGTGATGAAGGCCTAGTAGAAGAATTTTCCCACAATCATTATACTGATTTACTGGTAGTCTCGAAACCCTACTAACTTACGAATACAAGAGGAGTCTGCCATCGTCTTCTGATAGGATCGACCTTCGGATCTCTTCGCCAACACACACTTTTATTCGAAATGTATATGAGCTCAGCAATTTTAAGCCAATAGATTCCTCTAGATCTAACTTTGCCTCGCATAAAGCAGTACAGTGTTAAGCTGTTATATAAATCTAGGGCGCGGTATCAACAGGCTATGGAATCAGGACCTTTGAGTCGTATTGAGCGAGGCCAAAAAATAACTGATGCAAAATGTGTGAGGTGCTTCATGTGAGAGAACGAATCCGACCAAAATGAATACGGTGGCTGGAGAATAGTGTGATCACCAATCAGTGAGATAAGGAGTGGATCTTCGGAAATGAGTTGAAAAAAACAATTTGCAAACTGAAAAGGTCAAGTCCTATCAGCAATTCC